CTGTTTACTCTGAAGCCTACGGGTCTGTTACACTGGTGGAACAGCAGATGTTTTAGTGTCACTTCGCTTTAATCAGGCTGCCTGCCTCCTTCCTGCACTTACTGGATTGCAAACAAAGTACTCCTTGTCTCTCCCTTGCAGCGTTAGCTAACCTCATTTGTCAAGTTAATCAGGGAGAGTGGGCACTTCGATGGCTGCGGTATAGCCTGGCCGCATTGCCATGGAGACAAGCAGCCAAACAGGCATTTTACTTGCCCTGCTTTGCCCTGCAGAGATTTGGCATGAGAAGCCAATATTTTATTTGCCGTCAACCAACCAACTTGCTGAGGATGTGAGTAGTTTTTCATGGTTGCTATCAAAAGATGGGGAAGGGTCTAGCTAACCTTTTTGTTGAACAAATAGTAATGCTGCTACTGAAGCAATTCCTGGTTCTGAATGTGCAGCTCCTCTTCCCATGTCCCATGGATGTCTGACTCCGGTAGGATCTGTGTGAGAGGAGTTACAGCCCAGTAGCTTTGGTTTGGGGCTGCCGTCGAGATGTCATCTGACCTCTTCAGCTGAATGGTTGCATAGGTGGCTATTTGCCTACAGGAGCTGTGACCATCATTTAAGATACTTTAAAAAGCACCAAGTCCTGTGTTTAAGAGCATCTCAGGAGCCTGAAATCTCCACAGCAGTTGGTGAGATTCAGGAGCTAGCATGCCTTGATCACGTTTGAAATTCAGAGGCCAGTGCTTTTGGAAGCCATACACTCCAGCTGACCTCTTGCATAAGGCAGGCTATAGAGTTTCACCCCCTAATTCCTGCACCAAGCCCATAACTCATAAGCAAAATCTGGGTCTTGAAAGAGCCAGCAGAAGATGCTTGCGCATGTTATAGAGTTCGCAAACCATCCCGCCCCTCCCTCTCCTCCGTCTCGCATGTGCACATGTTAAATGATGCATTGAACAGGTTTGGAAGTGCTCCCTCCTGCAGCCCGGGTGAGCAGGACAGCCGGGATTGCAGGCACCTATGGGAGGGACAGCCACCTGCTAACCTGCAGCCCTCTCTGCGAGACAGTAGAGGAAACCTCGCATCAGCACAGAAAGGGCAAAAGTTCAGATCAGATTGTTTATGGGATTTTATGGAGCTGGGAGCCAAGGATAGCTCAGCTAATCCAGAGGAAACTGTAGCGATGGCGTTAGAATGCATTTCACATGGGATTCATTCAGCGCGTGTTCAGATGGACCAGTCTTTCTGTCTCCGTTTTTTTAGCCGTGGAATATTTTTCTTTGCACTCCCGTCTGCCAGCCACACCGAGCCAAACTCCAAGCTAGGCTGTTTTAAGAAAAAAGAAAAAAAAAACCCTCTTGTTGTTTGACCTGCCAGTGAGTTAGCAGGGCTTCAGCATGGCTCCCAGTAACACCAGTGCCAGGCTCTGGTCTGGCCCCTGGCCACTGCCAGCCAGCCTCCACTCCTGCCTGCCTCAGCATCCATTGCTTCTTTCCACGGCGCGGTGTAGCGCTTGCCAAGTTGAAGCCGTGGTGAGGATGCTGGCTAAAAGCGCCACTAGAAGGCCATGTGGGGAGGGCAGGGAGGCAGCAGCTTTGTTGTGCCCTCCTGCTTCTCAGCACCTGAAGCACTGCCAGCTTCATGGGCTGTCACAGCCCTGGCTCATCCTCCTGAGCCTCCAACGTCCCCTGCAGTCTCGGTGTGAGCCCCTCTTGGGAATATGATTTTCCTTTTAGGTGCAGTGAGGCCACCACACTGAGCTGTTTGTTGCACATCTTGGCTCCATCCTTGAGTCCTGAGCCACAGGCCCCATTGCTCTGCTGGAAGAGGTGACCTGGCTTAACTCCAGCTCCTTCTGTCCCCAGCCTTCTCCCTCTGACCCTGGCAGGCTCTCACATGCTCAGGATTAGCCCAGCTGTGACCTGTCCCTTCTGGAAGCTGCTTTCCTCTCCTTGGGGACTAAATCCTGATATTTAAAACAAATCTGTCTAGGAGTTAGCATGGAGCAGCCCCACACTGTTCATCCCTTCCCTGCTTGCAGGGCTGCTGCAATGGGGTGCGTGTGGGGAGCAGCTCTATGCACCCCCAGGTAATCCAGAGCTGGAAAGAACCCTCCATCCCTGCAGGGTGTTTTGGCATCAACCCACAGGGCACTGCAGCCTCCCCAGACCACTGTGGTTTCTTATCCTGAGCTGACACAGACCAACCCATCAGGTCCTGGGTCTTCTCTTCCCCCTGGATACAGGGCAGTGTCCACATCCATATTATTTGCTCCTTTGAAGTTCAAACCAGAGCTGTGTCTCCCAGATCCTGCCCCTGCCTTTGGGTGAGAAAGCGAGACAAGTAGCTTTGCAATTCTGAATATCTACAGTCACATCCTGCACACCCTGTTATGGGTGCAAAGCTCCTGGGTGCTTTTTGATAAGATTTTCCTGCCCATGTGGTCAAGCCAGCTGTGTATCAGGTACCTCTTCTTGATGGGGGCTGTCTCTGATGCTGTCTGGGGGCTGGTGCTCCACATGTGGGTGTGTTGAAGGGAGAGGATTTTGCAGAGCAAAGCAGGAAGTATGTGTTGTTAGTTTTCCTTTGGGTGTAAAAGCATCCCTGGTAGGAGGGTGCTTAGGTATTAGCTTCATTTCAGTACTACCTACAACATCAGAACAAGGATATCTGCAGGAAAATGTAAAAGCCCAAGCTTCAAAATAGTAAAGCAAAATGCAGAACTTAATAATCAGGTAGAAATTGCATCCAGCCCAAAGTGTTGTTGGAGGTAAGAGGTAAAAGCTTCACAGTGGTGCTCAACAGGAGCAAAAATGATGGTGGCTGCTCGAGCGCTCGCTTACAGCGTTCGTCTCTAGGACATTCGTGCAGTGTGTTGCACCTATGACAAAGAGGAGCTGCTGTTCATGGGTGTTTATTGCTTTGTCTTTAAAAATGGGTTTGCAGCTCACTCTGTAGAGGCCACATTTTGAGGGAGGCACAGGGACTGCATGGCCAACCTTTGCTCACGTGCATCTGTGTAGCTGGGGCTAGTGCTGGAAATGTCTCCCTTTTTCTTTGCACCAAAGCCGCGGGAAGGAGAGGTGCTGCCTTTCGCAGCCCGTGCTGCTTGCTGTGCCTTGCTGTGAGCTGCCTTGGGCAGAAGGGGCTTCCCAGGTATGAGCATGGGCTGGCACAACCTCGCACGCATCCTCAGGCCCCCGTTCCCCGTGCCACCTGCAAGCACGGCAGCTGGGTGGGAGCTGGTGGTCCACCCACGTGCAGGAGATGGGACTGGCCGTGCCGTAACCCGCTGTGTGCTGCTCACCACCCTGCCTCCCGCCCTTGGGCGCTGTGCAGCCGGGGTGCCCGGCACCCTTGGGCCATGCTGTCCCGGACCCCCCCAGTGCCGCCGGCCATAGAGGGACTGATGTTGCCATCTGCTGGCTTAGCTGCACAGGAGCAGCAAGAGCTTGGCTCAACCCTCGTGGAAGTCGCCCCTCATGCGTGTGTACTGACCCCGCTCCCACGCCAGGCTGCGGGCACACTGGCCACCCCTGGACCCAGCCCTTGGCCTGCTGGTAACATCTGCCCATCAGCCAGTGTGCCAGGGGACAGGATGGGTAGCCCGTTCCCACTTAGACTGTGCTGCTCCCCACCCTTTCCCACGCTGCCCGTGTGCGAGGGTGTCCCTCCTGCCCTCCCTTCGGGGCCTGAAGTATTGGCCTCTGGCACAACACGCCCTGGAAGAACACACAAGGCTCATATTAAGGGAGCTCCTTCCCATTAAAGATGAACATTTCCACTGCTGATTATCACCATCAGGTGCTTATTCCTCCTCCGGGCTTGTCTTTATTTCCTTTCTCTTTCGAGTTCTTGGCAAGTACTCCTAGGCTGGGAATGCATCACTGCTGTAGCAAGTACCCAAGTAGCACAGCACATCTCACATCTCACCTGGGCAGTCCCCCAAGCGATGGCCGGGGCCGAGAGGTGCAGGACCACCGGGCTCCAGCCCTGTCCCCCAGCCAGCCCTGCAAAATCACTGCTTTGCCTGCAGGAGCGATGCGGCTGAGCCAGCGTAATCAGTGACAGCTCACTCAGGCATTGCTCAGAGGAAGAGGTTACTTCTGTAAATCTATTATCTTTTTTGGCAATTAGCACCAGTTAGGAGCCCTGGGAATACATGCAGCAAATAGCAGGAAACCCAGTTAAGCACATCTCTCTGCTTTTCTAAGCCCAGTTAAACAAGTCTCCTGTGGCACAGCCCTACAGCTGGTAGCACAACCCATAAATGCTCCAGAGATGATCTCTAGCGCTGGGATTGCTTTTCTTTGCAGTGTGTAGCCCCGGAGATTTCCATTCAGTGCATGTACATGCAGAGGTGGAAGGGGCGGGGGGCTCACCCCAGCCTGGGGTATCCCCAGCAGTCTGCAGGTTGCAGGGAGGAGCCCCCAGGGTCCTTACATGGCCTGGATGCCGGAGGCAGCCCTGCAGCTAGCTGTGCTGGTGGCTTCCCTGCCCGGCCCAGGGCTGTGCTGCATCTCGCTCTGGGTGGAAGCCCAGCGGGAGGCAGGGCTCAGTGGCTGGGCTTGACCACACATGTCGAGCTCAGGATGGGGGAGTGAGCAAGATGCTGTTTTCTCTGGCCCAGGAAGACAGAAATGTGTGTTTGTTTTCCATGCTATCTCTTGCACAGCGTTTGTTTTGCTTGTCGAGCATTTCAGGAGATAAAATGACCTAAAGGGTGATTATTTTATCCTAATTTAAGCTGTCAATTTATCACTGACTTTTGCTTGTCTGCACCAGCAGGACGGCTTGCTCTGAGTCCCCGGGGAAACCTCAGATAGAAAGTGAGAATTTGCGGGGGGATTTGCTGCAGTCTCACATCTAATCTGTGCTTATAACAGCAACTACAAGCTGCTCCCCTGTCCCTCCATGTCCTATTAGTTCCCATCGGTATGGATTGGCTTGGCTTCCCAGGGGACTCTGCTCTCTAACTGGGGACCGGGCTTGTTTTTCTCGTGCTGCAGGCTGGTGGAAGAGTTCATGCTGCTCGCGAACATGGCCGTGGCCCATCAGATCTACCGCTCCTTCCCTGAGCAGGCCCTGCTTCGCCGCCACCCGCCACCCCAAACCAAGCTGCTGAAAGACCTCATGGAATTTTGCAACCAAGTCGGCCTCAACATTGACTTCAGCAGCGCAGGGACCCTGCATGTGAGTGGCCCGGCAGGGAGCAGGGTCATGGGGGTGAAGGGTAGGCAGCTACCTGATGGCATGTTTATGGCAGCATGTGGTTTATTCCCTGGCTTCCTCTGCCCAAACAGAGCCGACAGTTATCCCATGCCAAAACAGAACATCCCCCTCACTCACTCTTGACCCCACCAGCACCCACCAGCACTGAGCAAGGGTGGCCCAGCCTGTCTCAGCCATGTTGTGCAGAGAGCTTGAAGCAGGACAGGGAGGACCTTGCAAGTGACCCCAGCGCTGCCCTCTCTGCAATGGAAAGGATGTTTCAGTGCAGGAACACTTGCTGGAACACCCAGATTTCCTTTCTCTGCCTTCTCTCTCTCGCAGGTCCTGGGCAGGGCATTTGCTCTGTATCATGGGAAAAGTAGCTCTGCGAGGGGGTGTTTCTGTCTGGGCTGCTGAAGGTCTTGGGGAGGGCAGGGTGGGGAGCGGGATGACTGGGAAGGACTGGAGAGCGGTGCTGGGAAAGGTCAGATGCAGCCAGCGCAGGAGGTATCCAACCGATCCTCCACTGAGCATGTCCTGAGGCTGAACTCCAGCTGAACAGCACAGCACAGGTTCCAGGATTTTCTTTACTCGCCGCAACTGGACTGTGGATAATCCTCTGTTAATCCCATCCCCGCTGGCCTCCCTCGTACCCCTCCATCAGCTGGGACTGCTTTCCCTGCTTGCTGGCTGCGCCAAGGCTATGTCAGCAGACACAGGGCTGCGCACTCAGCTCCTCTCCTGCACTTTGAACCCTCCAGCCCTTCCTTGCCACTAGCCCCAGGCAGTGACCTCCTGTCTCCACATCTCCCTAGAGTCTCATTAGTCCAAGCGCTGAAGCTCTCAGTAGCTGGATGGGAGCCAGGCACAGATCGGGAGAGGGCTTGCAGGGGCTCTCACATGCTGCACGTCTGGGGATGGAGCCAGTGGTCCCCGTGCCCCAGCTGCTCCCTGCCGCTGGCCGTGGGAGGTGGGTCACTGCTCAGGAGTGTGTGTGCAGTCTTGTCAGGGCTGCTGGGACCAGAGCAAAGCCCAGTTTCACGTGCACTTTTTGTCTTACAAGGGCATTTGCAGGAAAAGGAGAAACTTGGCTTTGATGAGCTGCTGTTTGCACCAGTAAAGTCTGCCTGGTACCCCTACCACCATAGCTTGCCAACACTGAATCCTCTCTCTCTTTTCTCCTCCAGAAAAGCTTAAATGAAACATTTGGTGCTGACAAATACTCCGAAGCCAGGAAAGAAGTGCTGACCCACATGTTCTCCAGGCCCATGCAGGTGAGAACAGCACTGTGCTGTCAGACACGTCTGACTGTAGCTGTCAGCTGTCTGCTGCTCCATCTTCAACCCTCGCCCCTTCTGCATTGCTGTAGCTGGCTCTTACGTAGAGGGAGAGTGAATGGACACTGAGCATGGTGCTGCGGGGCTGCCAGCAGCTTCCCCCAGTGCCTCCAGCCCCATGCAGCTGGCAGTGGGGATATCCCCTGGGTAACAGAGCTTCACTAGATGGCAAAGTCAGGCTGAATCTTTCCAGACCCCACGTAGTGTCCCTGGTATTACTGCTTGGGTTGTTTCACCCTTGAAGTTGCATGTGGGATGTTAGCAGACTCACAAGAACCCAGCCTGCTCTGTGAAGAGCTGGTGGTGGGCTCCATGGTTCATGTTTGTGCCATTTCTTCACATCATGATATCCCAGCTGGTCCAAAGAAGCGGTCAATCAAGAATGAGTATGATGTAGAGGTGTGGCCATAAGCACAGGCTGGTACACAGACATATGCTCTTAGAAGCAGGAAAGTTCTGCAAACCCTTTGGTCTCCCTCCAGACCAAGAGACCTTCTGTGAAGGTCTCTGCAGTGGAGGCTTTTGCTGCTCACACTGATTATCATGTTTGGTGTGTCTGCAGCTCAGGACACTTATTAGGGTGTTTATCACCTTCAAGAAAAGTTTTTGGGAAGCATCTGCCTTTCTACAAGCACAGCCTCTTCTGTGGGAAGTCCTACCCCACAGGGAGAAGGGGCACATTCCTGAACTGTTCTCTTTGCTGTGGCCTGCTTATCACTGCAGGAATGAATCATCTTCCCAACATCACTCATTTGGCTGTCACTCTTCTAATTAGCTTACTTGCTCCATTTACTCATTAGCAGTTGCCTGAAGTCCTGCTGTACTTTGGTGACTTAATGCTTGCTTACAAGTGGGATTGAAGATTGAAGCTGTTTAGTAAATCATCCCCTTGTGTATGTGTCCAGCTCAGGGATGCTGCTTTGTAAAGTGCAGGCAGTGCCCTCTGGAGCTGGCTGTGTTGTCCTAGCTCCTGTGTCCTGCTTTGGCTTGTCCTGGTCCCTTCTGTCACATCTTCCCTTTCTGGTGGAAGGTGCACTGGTGACATGAATTCCTTGGGGTCCCCTCTGGTCCTGCTGACTGTGACACAAACCTGGGCTTTGTGGAGCAAGCCTGGCTTTTGGCCAGGAGGGATGAGCAAGGAGAAGACAACTCGGTTCTGCAGTGGCACCAAGGAGGAGGTGATCTTTTTGGAACCCACTCACTTGCTGAGATTTTGCCTCTATAGTCTTCTGAGGCTGTGGTGGGAGAGATGGTGGGTGTGCTTTGAGATGCCTCCCAGTGGCTCTTGTTAAGACTTAGCCCTATGAATACATGTTAGATCTGTACACGAAGAAGGTATCAAGGTTTTGGGGATGAAGTCTTCTGCAGAGTAGATACCAGACAGAGAGTTTGGGCAGGAAGAAAGAGGAATGTTTAAAGGACATGATTTTGCATCATCAGAAGACCAAGGTGCCCATGTGTTCAGGTGTGCTGTGCAGTCCACTCACATCTGGCAAACCTGCTATCTGGCACACTCCCATGATAGGCAAAACCCAGTTTACAGCTGAGCCCGTTGGCCCTCCAGGGCAGCCTGTGTCTGGATGGTGAGCAGCGTTCCTGTCTGCTGGCATTCCCCGGCAGGATGGTACTGCAGTGCCTGATGAGATGCTCTTATTATTAGAAGTGGTGCATGAGCCAGAAGAAACAGAAATCTGTCTCGATCCTGAGATGAGCTTAGGCAGTTCGCCATTTGTTGAACTGTTGTTTAGTTTGTAAATGGAGTTTCAGACGTGTCCAAAGCATCAACCAGGTGAGCAGACACTCCCCTCCTGTCTTTAGGGCCACTTTCCAGTCTGACCCAGGATGTGCTCGTAGCGGTGGATCCATATGACCGCCAGTCCGTAAGGAAGGACCACAGCACCGCAGGGGCAAGAGACATCAGTGTTGCTCCACATCACTGTGGGGTGGACTCACAGCTCCCCACAATCCTGAGTAGTTCAGATTCCCACTATTGTTCCTACTGCTAAATGCAGAGGACAGGTAGTTTAAAGTCGTGTCAGTGCCCCTCGGAAAGGGCAGACAGCTACCAGGTGTAATGAGCTTTCACCTGGGAGGAGGATTTTTTGCTGCCTGCCACCAGTATTAGAGCAGACAGAAAAAATGGCCCCGCTCTGCCCTGGATGTTGCGGTCTCTCATGGGTGAGAGGACAGAGCTGAGAGTTGGCAGATGCAGAGCAGAGCCACACAGGGGCCCGTGCTGGTGTCCAGGGCTGGGCCATCACTCTGACAGATGCGTGGCAAGACCGTCTGATCAGGGCACGGAGGATTCACCCATATCCCTGCACACATCTCAGCTCCCAGTGATAAAGCTGGTATTTCAGGGACAAGGCTGCAGTTAAATCAGCCAAAACAAGCTGCCCACAGGTTTAGCCCATGGTCACGCCAAGCCTATGTCTTCCATCTTCACTGTGTGCTGGGGGTCAAGACATCAGCGTCTTGGAGGGAGAGGGAGATGGGAAGCAACTGGTAATATGTGTGTCTGGGGGAGAGCCTGTATTGCCGTGCCAAGAGCCTTGTAACAGATGAAGGAGCAGCGACATACCATTTTTCAGGGGCTCAGTCACTCGGGGATTCAATCTGTCCATGAGAGCAAAGCCACCCCTGGTTGGCTGGGGCTGATTTATTTCCAGGCTCCTCGCTGTTCTCCGGGGATTGTGGCAAACCCTGGGGATTTGAGACCACTTGTGAGTCAAATCTGTTAATGAGAAAACATCTGCTTTCTGCCAGGCTGATGTCACCGGGTGGGTAATGCTGTCATGGTGGCAAGGACGGGTATCAGACACGTGTTGGACTGGGCTCCCTGCAGTGTGGAACCTTACCACAGCCCAGAGGAGTGTTTTTGCTGTGATACCCAAGCTGATGCCAACCTCAGTGAGGGCCGTGAGCTGCCGAGAGGGTGTCAGAAATGGTGCTGTACCCAGCAGCAGCTGGGTTTGGCCAGCACGTCCATTGGGAAGAAGTGCCCCAGACAACAGCAAGCAGTGTGGGACCTTTGGTGTCTTTTCCAGCTTGAAACAAGGTGGGGGTTGCCCTGCACTGCTGGCAGAGGGAGGGGATGAGCCCTTCCCAGTGGCTCTCTAGCAGCGGGGATTTTGACCATTGCTCCGCTCTCTACCTACCAGGCATTGCTGGGACCTTCCTCCCTCCTGCCCAGGAGCCTGGCATAAGTGCCTATAAACCCCCTGTAATTTCATGCTGTCTGTCTGCCCAAGGGCACTCATCTTCTCCTGCAGCAGCCTCCAGTGCTCAGCGTGTCTTCCTGCCTGACCACGCAGAGCCTAATTGAGTGGAGACCGTACTTTGTGGAGTCCATCAGAAACAATTTAATTCTGGGTTGTGGAAATTGGCAGCCGCCACAGCTCCTATCCCAGCTCTTGGGTCTCATAATAAGGCCAGGACCAATGCTGCTTTTTTTAACCTGCTCTATTTACTTGCCCGGATCAGTGCGCTGCTGCTCAGCAGGAGCTGGCTGTGCCGCTGGGCTGGAGAGCGGAGGATACAGCTGCCCAAACCGTGGATCCCAGGACAGCTCTGTAATCAGAGCTGGCTACTCCTGTTTTTTTTAAATCACTTGCTCTTATTTTTAAACGGGTTCGTTCAGTTGCCACTGTGCTGTGACCCCGCCTCAACCCCCCTGACCTGCACAGCTTCCCCTCCCCACCTGGGTTCGGCCCCCATTGTTTTCCCAGCCCTGAGGGCTGGTGTTTCACAGATGTAAAAATAAAAGCTGTAACATGTGGGATAACAGGGGTGGTGCAGCCAGGAGAGGTTCCTGCTGGAGAGGCTGTCAGGCAGCACGGTGCTGCTGCAGCCCCAGTGTTGGTTTAGACGGGCAGTCCAGCTGCTTGGCTTCTCAGCTGTCGTCGTGGGATGGAGCAGCAGGGATCATAGCAGGGCTGCCTCCTCCTCTGTGAGCGGAGGAGCCACTCATCCCAACCCCTAGCACTTTCCAAGCAGGTGCAGTGGGTGTGCGGAGCCTGCAACCAGACCCAGAACCAAAGAGCCTGGCCGCACTGAGCCCCCTTGTTGGGACGGTATCCACAGTGGGCATGGGACAGGCTGGGGTCACCCCTGGAAGATGGGGGGGATGGCGAATGAGCCCCAGGACATGAGCAGAAGCAGGAGACTGCTTAAACCCATGTGTGATGTGAAGGTTGATGCAATCCCTGAGGCCAGGCAGGGTCAGCTGGCAGCCAGCAGCTCCCTGCTGTGGCTTTGCCCTCTTTGCTTCAAGCTCAATTCCTGCAGCGCTCACCTTGTCCCTGGGCAGCCCGAACCGAGCAGCCGGTGAAGGACCATCAGCTGCTGGAGCTCTGTCTTGTGGCCACAGACCCCTCCAGCCTCATGCAGGGTCCTGCCACCATCCTTGCTCACACCCTTCCCTCGCTTCTCACCCTTTTCAGATGGCTCTCTACTTCTGCACCGGTGTCCTGGAGGATGAGACCCTCTTTCACCACTACGCCCTGAACGTGCCCTTCTACACGCACTTCACCTCGCCCATCCGCCGCTACGCAGACATCATCGTGCACCGTCTGCTCTCCGCCTCGCTCGGTGGGTGCTGCCCGGCCACTTGCAGAGCATTTTGGGTGCTGTGAGGGGAGGGGGTGGCTGTGCCTGGCACAGGCAGGGCTCCCAGGTTCCTGCCTTGCCTGCCATGGATGCTGGGTGCTTGGAGTCTGCATCCCATGAGGCAGCAACCTCGCACATTGGTGCCCTCAGGGACCTGGAGGTGAGCTGGGTCCAGGGTGCCATGGCATGGCACTGGAGCAGGACGGAGGGTGAGCACACCACTGTCACTTGTACCCCTCTCAGGTGTCAGCTCCCCCATCAAGATGGAGAAAGAGGCCATCCAGAGGCAGGCAGATCGCTGCAATGACCGGAAGATGGCTTCCAAAAGGGTGCAGGAGCTCAGCGCTGACCTCTTCTTCGCCGTCTTCGTCCGGGTAAGACCCAAGGCTGTCTCCCCCTGCGGCATCTCTGGATTTCCCCGTGAAGGCTCAGCCGAGATGGGCAGAGGGCTGTGTGGCTGCCCAGCTGGCCCTGGGGAAGGCAAACAGTGAGGGAACGCACTGAGCAACCACCGCCGCTGGAGCTCCAGGGCCTGGGGACACTGACTCTCCTTGGGAACGGCTGGGTGGGGGATGCTGGTGTGGTGACAGCCCTCTCTTGGCAGGAGTGTGGTCCTTTGGAGTCAGAGGCCATGGTGATGGGTGTCCTGAACGAGGCCTTTGATGTCTTGGTGCTGAAGTTTGGAGTCCAGAAGCGCATCTACTGCAATGTAAGTACCTCACCAGTGTGAGAGAGTGACAGTGCTGCCTCACCAGAGAGGGCTGCAGCAGCCTGGCATCATCAGAAGCAGTGGCTGTTCTGGTGCCCTTCTGTGCCAGCCCTGCAACAGCAGAGTTGTGCCCCATCCCAGCTAGCCACAGGGGAGGGAGTCTTCACAGGGTTCACCCTCCATCCCTCAGCCCTGGGCAGGCACCAGGGGCTGGGGCCGGGGTCTGGAGCAGCCCAGTCTCTGAGCACCAGCTTCTCCCTGCTACATGCTGGGAGTGATCTAGTCTAGGTAAAAGGGAATAAAGACAGATTCAGGGGGACAGAGATCAACATGGAGCTGAAGGGAGGAAAGGGAGCGAGGATGGTTTTCATTTCATTTAATCAGACGGTATATCTGGGGCTGTGACAGCACCATGGTAGGCCAGCACCTGCGGTTAGTGACAGCATCTTCTCTTAATAACCTGGTTATATGGCTGGCAATGACATCTTTAAACAGGACATATAGCATGATATATGGGCTGTTTGTGTATCACAGCAGCCCCTGATTTACGTGCTAGGTTCAGGCTCACGGGCTGCTGCATCCTGGTTGTTAAAGAGCTGCAGAGGCAGTGTGCCGGGCAAAACCAGTGTCATCCCCATCTGTAGGCAAAGTGGAGGGGGAGAGCTGAGTGGGGGGATGTTGTCAGTGCCACAGGCTGTTTCCAACACTCTCCCTGCCTGCAGGCACTGCCCCTGCTGGGCTTCCACTTCCAGAAGGTGGGGAGGAAGCCGGAGCTGACGCTCATGTGGGAGCCAGAGAAGCCAGAGCAAGAATCTGTGCCCCAGGTAAGACCCCCTCAGCATGGGCTCACAACACTGTGAAGCTGGCGTAGAGGCTGTGTGCAATGTGTGGATCCCAGGATCTCCACAGGACAGGTCCAGGAGGCAGGACTGCCTTTCAGGCTGTCAGGTCCTGCGGTCCCTGTGTTCCCTCCCCAGCAAGCCCGACCTCAGCCTCAACCTCTCTGCCATCCAGCCTGCGCCATCCCATCGCTGCCCCCACATCTGACCCCTCCACGGCCTGCAGACTCTTCCCTGCCTGCTGTGTGCCCTGCCTCCCAATTCGGTTTCCTCCAGAATTGGATTAACATGCTGTTTACTTCCTTCTTCCAGATCATCAATTAAGACGTTAACTAAGATCAGGCAGCGCCTGTCTAGGCCCTTCCCCCCACCCTGGCATTCCTTGCCCCTTCACTGGCATGGCCGTTCCTTCAGGTTTCCATCCCTGCAACAGGGTTGAGACCCAATTAGGAGAAATTTTTTAAGTCAGACTTCCTGAGATGCAGTGTCAAATGGTTTAACATCATCTAGAAATCTCTCTCTTGTGTCCCTGTCATCTATTAACTTGGTAACTCAATCAAAGGGAGCAATCGCATTTGTCTGGCTTGATTAAGTGGTGCTTCTTTGCCAACTTTTGTCTGGCGTTGCTATCAAATCACAGCTGTGTTGACTGCTGTGATCCCTGTCTGCTGCCTTGGCAGCTGCTGGAGGGCTGAATCCCAACCTCTCCCTGCACCACTCTGGGGGCTCCGCACTTGAACCCCATTTCCAACCAAGCCCGGCACAGGCAATCCTTGTCCACCTAGGGCTGGATGAAAAGGACTCCTGACACAGGGCTGGGCTGACGCTCCTGGCTGGTATGATGCATGTCCTGGGGAGTCCTTTTCTTCCCAGGGGAGATATTGTGGTCAGAACCAGCTGAGCTCCCCAGCTGTTACAGGCATTTCTGCAGGCCTCCCTCCCTTTGAAGCTGAGCTTTCCTTTCTCAGCTTGGCTCAGAGAAGCCCCCTGCACACAGCCTGAAGTGGCCTCGGTTCCTCCTTTCCTACAGGAGCGGGTATCACTTACACCCTGCAGGGACCTGCATGAAAAATGATGCCCCAGCATGAGCAGGGCCCATTTTGGTTAAGCAAACAGCGGTAGAGGGAACTCTTCCACAAAACCTCCACACCTCCTAAGAAAACACCAGAACCCTCCCCTGGGGGCAGGCTCCGAGCTGGCCTCTGAGCCAGCAGATCCCCAGGTTGATCAGTCTCCAGCTGCAGGATGAGGCGGATCCCCAGGAGCCGTGCTGAACCTCTGCAGATGTCACCTGGACACCCCGCAGCACCAGGCACCCGCAGCTCCCTGCCTGGCCCCAGCGCTTGGCCTCTGCTTCCCAGTTTGGCTCAGCTTGGCCAGGCAGTGGGGACGTCGGGGAAGGCTGAGGGAAGCTGTGCAGGGGTCTGGGCTGGCTGGCCCTGCCATGACGGGGAGGTGGTGTCACCATCTCCCCTGAGTGCCAGGAGATGATGGCCAGGACCTCAGTGAACATTACTCAGGGCTTGAGTATGAAGTGAATCTGACTCAGGGGATTTGATGTGAAATTGTGCTGTTCGCCAGCAGTTCAGCAAAGAGATGAAAAAGGGAGAGCCCCAATAATCTCCATTTGAATCCCCCAGACGTGGGGGGCTGCCCCATGGCCACTGCCCCCTGCTCTCCTGCCAGCTGGAGCAGGCAGGGGGCTGGCGCTAGGTAGCCGGCAGCTATCTGGGCAGCTGTTTGCAAAAGGATTTCCCTGCTGTTTTCTCCTCGCTGGCCACTTTGATACATTTAAGTCTCAATGAGATTTTCCTGCTCCAAATGATTAATCTGGAGCGGCCGGTGCTGGATGAGCTGGGAAGGGTTTGACAAGGTTACGCCGGTGGCGCTGTGCCTGCTCCTCCTGCGGGCCAGCCCTGAGCAGATGGCCCCATCAAGTCCTGCTGCAGCGCAGGCCTTGGGGACAGGCTCTGGCAAGCGAAGTCCCCAAATGCCTGGCCACGGCCCCAGGGCAGCCCCTTCCCAGTGTCCCAGCCAGCCCGTTATCCGTGCCTCGATGCTTTATGCTTCTAATCTGCAAAACTGCACAGAGAGATGAAGTCAGAGGACCAGGGAGGTGGCAGCAGGCAGCAGTGCATTCCTGAACAGGAGGGATTGAATTTCTGGGATCTTTATTCCCTCGCATCACTCTCATCCGTCATGCTTCCTTCCCAGGTCTCCTCTCACTGGGGGGGCATGGGGGGGTCATTCCCTCTTTGCAGGATGCTGAGAAAATGCTCAGTATCATGTGGGAAACCCTTCTCGCCGCAGCTCACCGTTGGCACTTGGCCAAGTTGCTTCATTAAGGGATGATGTGTGTTCTCCGGCTGGAGGAAGAAAGACACAAGCAGGCTTTAGGGGAGGTTGGGACCCAAAGCCAAGGGCAATCACCCATGCTTCTTCCCAGACTGTGTGAACAAGACTGGGGCTTGATCAGACTGCAATAAGTGAGGATGTTTTGGGTGGTTTATTTAGATCTCTGGCTGGCTTCGTGTCCAGCCCCAGCCCCAGGAGCACCCTGGACCCCAGCAGAACTGTCTGAAGCTGTCCTGCCCCATTCCCTGGCTCCCAATGGGTGCTGCAGTGGGGACAGCAAAAGTCAGCAGAGCTCTAAGCAAATCCCAGTGTGATGCCAAGCTGCCTGAAAAACCTGTTCTCTCCATCTTTCTCTTCCTCGCTGAAGGTGATCAGCATTTTCACACTGGTGGAGGTTGTGCTGACGTCGGATGGAGTCCCACTTAAGTACAGTGCCCTGCTCAAGAGACCGAGCTCGGAGAAGTGAGCGCCCTGGGCTGTGCCTGCTCCCCGCTGCTGACGCTTGCTCACCCGCCAGGCCCTGCACCGGCACCCGCTGGGGATGGAGTGGACCCACAGGGAGTTTGGGGCTTTGAGTTTTAAAACCAGTGCTGTTTTATTTCTAGTTTGGATTTTAACTCTGCCTGGGAGTGGGGCTCAGGGCTTGAGCCTGCTCCAGGCAGAGCATTTCTACTCGCAGATATTTTTAGCTTGATGCTTTCTTTTTCTTTTTTTTTAAGGCAGTGGTGTCCATCCCTAGCCATCTCAGGTGCCCACTGTAGGGGCCAAGTGGGGCTGCGTGTCCCTGGGAGCGGGGAAGGGCTGGCTTCACCGTCCCAGGTGGGATGTGGTGGGGTGCAGTGGGATGCGGCTGTGGGGCCACTAGGAGGGTTTCTTGCAGGGTTGTGTGTCATGTAATAAAAGACGGGTCAGCAGCTGAGTAGGGGGCTCGCGCAGGTTTTATTTTGTCTCCTGTGCGTTCCCCCAGCTGGGAATCCCAGCAGTAACTCACCTCCCAGACAGTCCTGTGCTTCCCCTGCCTGCCGCTTCCCAGGCATTGTGAAATCCAAGCAGCCTCGCTGCCTGCCCCAGTCCCAGGACGTGCTCAGCCGGAGGCCGTGGGGGATCGGTGGATGTGGGCTCCTGGCTGCTGCTCTGATGGCTAATTCCTCAGTCCGAGCCTTCACCAGGAGTCACCAGGTGGCTGCTCCAGCCCCTCACACCCTGACCTCCAGCCTAACCTCTCTCGGGGACCCTGCAGCACATTCTCCCTGCTGCTCAAGAGAGTGGCCAGCCCCTCGCAGGCTGACCAGCCCCTCTGCAGTCTCCAGGCACCTCTGCCTGTTCCCTGTCCCCGTGTCCCCTAACCGCGCTGTGCAGGGCAACTCCAGGGGCACGGGCTGCTCTGGCAGCCTCCACTTCATCACCCCCACGGGGACGGGCAGCCATAAGCGGCGGCTGGTGGAGGGATTGACATCTGGAGAGAAGGAGTGAATCCATTGTGCCAGGCAGGGAGGGGTCCCGGGCCTCACCAGTGGTGGCAGATTTGGCCCTGGCACAGACACATCTGCCCTCTGTAGGAGCTGGCCAAACCCAGGCTGCCCGGCTCAGGGTGGGGGATCGGGCCCTGGGATGGGTCAGGGCTGGGTACAACACACTCCCCAGGAGCTGATGAGCCGTGAAAGCCATCGGAGTCACCTGCAGTCCCCAGGGGTTGTGTTGCTGGCAGCATCCCTCCAGGTGGCCTGGTACAACCACACGTGGATGTCACCTCAGACGTGGGAAAGAGTGGGAGCAGCCTGCTCCTCCCTGGGTCTACTGCTCCTTGCTGGGTGCTGGTGACACGAGGCTGTTCCCTGCCCACAACTGGTACTTGCTGTGCAAGTGTGCTGGCACAGGCTGCCCCGGTGTGCCCAATGTGTCAGGCACCAACTGTCCCAGGGCCTGGCAGGCAGCGTGTGGCTGTGTCCCCTGGCAGAGGGGACCTGGGGACAATGACATCAAAGACAAGATGTTCTCCCACTACCCCTCAGCCTAGTGTCCCCCTCCTCAGGTTTGTCTCAGGGAGAACAAGGCCAATCCAGCCCAGCCCAGCTCAGCCTGTCTGCAAAAACAGCACTTTGCCCTGCGCCCTCCCTGTTGCTCCCCAGGGTCCCGCAGGCAGCCGTCCCCGTGGGAGCTGGGGGCCACGAGGTGCCCTGGTCCCCAGGGGCGGGCTGGAGGTCCTCCCTCGATGGTGGGGGGCAGGGATGGCCCCAGCGGGGGCTGGGGGCACTGGGAGGGCCCTGGGCAGGTCTGGGAGATAGTCCCTGAATGTTATCAGCCCATCGTCTCACCCTCGGCAGGGCTCAGCCCTCCGGCGGGACAGGGAAGGGCCATAAAGGTCTGTCACCCCCCACCCTGCCCTGGACGCAGGCAGCATTCGGGACGGGAGCTGGGGTGGGCAGCATGGGGCGGCCGCTCTGCCCTGGAACCTGCCTTCTCCTTTGCCTCCTCGCCCAGGTCGCCACTGCAGCCTCAGGTGAGGGGACGTTTGGGACAGGGAGGGTGGGAGCCCTTGGTGGGGGGCATTGGGCTGGTGCCACTTCCCTGGGGGTGTCTCTGGGGACCCTGTCGCCTCCCCATGGGATACCAACAAAGGCAAACCCTCCTGGCCACCTCGGGGTGGTCTGAGACCCCAACCCTTGAACGGGTTTGTCTCAGCCCCACCAATGCCTGCCCTGTCCCCATTCCCCCCAGCCCCGCTG